CACAGGAAACCTCCGTGGCTATTTTTACTCTATCTGCATGTCCTGTAGGTGATGTTCTTATGATGAAAAAACTTTCCCTGCCCCGTTTGTTAGGATAAACAAGTCAGAGAGTTCAGTGAGCTAGGCTTTGCTCTCTGTCTGCTGATAGGAAGATCATCAATGTTTCAGTGTTTCTTGGACTTTCTGAGAGGATGAGGGTTCCCGTGGCCTCCGTGTGGGATGGTTCTGTTTGCTCAGAGTCGCGTAAAGCTTAGTCTTGAGGGGAGAGTTGGTGACAGTCATGCCGACCTCAAGTCGGGGCTTGGGGTGTCCTGCATGTTATTTGTTCATCTCTGCGGTGGGGGAACAGTCCTGTCACGTTGGGGGCGCACGGTGGGGACCCCCAGAAGGTCCCTTCTGTGTTGTCCTTCCCTGTCTCGCATGAGGAGCCGTCTGGGGTCTCCTCCGTCCTTAGTGTGGGCTGCCCTGTGTGTCTGTAGTTTGTGGGTTCTCGATGCTTCTCTCTCATGATTGGGACTGAACAGAGATGACTGCAGGTTTATGGAGGATGGTGCCTCTCAGATTTTATCTCCAAAGGATTCCAGGAAATGCTCAACCAGCTCTCCAAGGCACCACCCGGGGGGCTAGTTCTCAATGCCTCATGCTTTATCTCTGAGACTCCCCTTTCCTCTTCACGATACAGCCATGTCTCCTCTAATATGACAATCACACCCCACCCCGCCTAGAAAAATCTTCAGATAAAATCATGACCCTGGGAGGATAGACTCTGATTCCCTGACTGTCTGCAGCTTCTCTGGGGGGGGGGGGTTGTGGATTTCGTTTAGGAAACAAGGTCTTGTACCAAACAGAATTTTCAAGTATTTTCCACCATCATGTGGTTCTCCGACTTTATAAGTAAGTTCCTTTTTTTGCCTTGTCTTTAAAATGACATTTTTTGGTCTCAACAATATTAGAGAGTGTTTCATAGCTGGTTGAATCCCTGTAACAGGTGAGGATTGTAATCATGGGCTTCACTGTAACACTGTAGCCCATTTCCCATACATGTTTCTACTGATTTTCGACAGAACGTGTGGGCTGTGACATTTCAGGGGCTGAAAGACCTACTTTGTCATCCTTGCTTTTCTCAGGGAGTCACCCACTGTCACTTCTTGGTTAGAGGCAATCGTGTTGAAGCCTGATTCTCTGAATGTGTCTGGATTACGTCAGAGGTGCACGTAGACCACGTGGGTTAATGTTTGGGATGGGAAGTCGTTTTAAACAATGCCGCCCGCTTCTTTACGAGGCTCTCAGAGTGGGCAGTGAGTTGGCAGGAGGTGGAAACGTGGAAAGTACCATTAGGATTTCCTTCTACAGCTAAGAGGTGGGGTCTGCTACTTTGGGCCCTGGAAGAGGGAGGGCCCCCCAATGCCGTCATCACTCTCTCCTTGGGTTTCTGCAGAAACTTCCCTTAGACCCAGGCAACAGAGGTCCCACCCGGGCCGTGTGCTCTGGAGGGTTCCGCTCTGCTTCTCAGCGAGCAGTGGTCCGGAGTCTGTTGGGCCAAGGGGATGGTCCCGGGACCCGGGAGCCCTGAAATTCCCTTCCCAAATAGCCTGGACTTGGATTCCAGGACCTATGCAGGGTTGTCCACTGCCTGTGGGCCTCCCTGGTCTGCAGAGTGGCCGGGGGCCATATGGGGGGATGTCTGCCTGTGTGCACGCTCAGGGCCCCCACAGGACGGGACGGAGCTGGGGGCAGGCTTGGAGGTTCATGGAGATGGAAGCTGCCTGAGCACCCTGGGGCACTGCACCCTGAAAACCCCGTGTGGGACCACGCAGCCTGGATGCTGCCCCCAGCGCCAGCCTCTACTCCAAGTCTCCCCAGAACAGGGCCCACTCAGCTCGTGCGGCTTTGCCTTGCCCGGGGTGCATCTGCTGGGTGCCCCCGCGGTCCCGGGCCTGGCTCTGTCCTGGAAGGCAAGAGTCACATGTGAGGGAATTCCTCACAAACAAGAAGGGAACTCCTCAAGGCTGCTGGAAATCTCTCAAGACTAAGAAGGCCTTTAGAGATGCTTTGTGGCCTCAAAATAGGAGCCTGTCCTCCCGCCCCCTGTGTGGGGCCCTGGGCCTTGAAACCCCTTGGGTTCTTGTGACAGCCCCTTCCTCCCCCCGACGTCTCTTGTCCTGTGTCTGCACTGGGTGTGGGATCTCTCACAGTGACAGGAAGGTGCTCTGGATGAAGTCAGTCCTTCCCGGAAGGGGGGCGTTAGTGGGGGCCCCTTAGGCTCGTTGTAAATTCTTATACTTAATCTCTGTCCTTATAATTTAGCTCTCATTGAAGTTTCTCGCTTGCATTGTCACTTTATCTTTAATAAACCAATAGTTTTGTATGTATGTTCCACGTACCACATAGTCATGTTGTGACATCCTGGCTTCCAAATATGTCGTCATCACCAAAAACCAATGGGAACTGTACTCGGGAGGTTCCCAGGGGCTCCCCTTTTCACGTGAGCGTCACAGAAAGCCATGCTTCCTGCTTTCACCCTGTGGTGCGCTGGAGTGAACGGACCGGACCAGGCGGCTGGAGGTGGGGGGAGGACTGGGGCCGCCCCAGGCCCCCTTGATGACGGCCCCGGGTCGTGCACTGGAACCTCAGTGCACCGCTGTGCCCCTGCACCCCAGCTGGAAGCCGCCATGGAGAGGATGTCAGCAAGTCGGGGAAATTTCATACGTATCACAGGCATCATGCACCAGGGCGGGAAGGGGGGCGATGTCAGGGCAAGGGGGGAGGTGTCAGGGCAAGGGGGGCGGTGTCTGTCAGGGCAAGGGGGGCAGTGGCAGGGCTTGTTAATTTACCGGGGGAGCTAATCGTCTTATTTTATGTGGAAAATTCATCTGAGAAACAACATGGGGGAATAAACCTGTGGCTTTTTGTTGTTAATACTTTCTAAAAGGCTATTTTGAATTTTACTATAAGCTGATTTCAAAAATCACCTCGGACTTGCCTAAGTTGCCGCTGGATAGGGAGGTGATGTTTGCTGAGTATTCTTTCTGGCCTCAAAGCTCTCAGCCTCCAGCCTTGCTCTGGCTGCTCTGTCCCTCAGAGCCCCCAGCCCTCCGGTGTGAGTCCCGTGTCTCACGCCTTAGGTAGTGGTCCACCTCCTGTGTGATTGCCGGCCGCCGCCAGACTCGAGTTTATGTTCTCTGACTCACACGCGGTCTCTGCATCCCATCCCTCCCGCTAGATTCTGGGCGAGTTTGGTTTTGGTCCCTTTTTGGTCTGATGCCAAGAGGGTGGGTGGGTGGATCCCTCCCTCCCTCCCTCTTTCTCCTCCTCCTCCTCCCTCTCTTTCGACCACGAGTACTTCTTGGGCGCTTACCACATCACAGGAGTGTGGGGGATGAGTGAGTCTGCCCCGGACCTTTTCGGCCTGGCCAGGTGGGGAAGTCCAGCGGCCAGGGGAGCTGTCCAGTGTGGCCAGAGCCCTGGGTCCTGGCGTAGACGTCTGAGGCCCCCGTGCGCAGTGCCGGGAAGAACCCATGTGATGTGGCTCTCTTGGCTGAGGAGGAAGTTGGGGTGGGGTGTGCGGGGCCCCTGGGAGCGGCTTCCAATCAGAATCTGCCCAGAGCTTGTCAGAAGTCACAGGAGAAGCTGGCCCACCAGGAAGGTCAAATTGGTCAACGGTCTTAGGAAGGACCATAGAGGCACCATGGAGGCAGCAGGGCCAAAGGCTTACAGGTGTGCCGGGAGGGGAGCCTGAGAAGGAAATGGCCAGGGGGTGATGGAGGAGAGGGGGCGGGGCCCTCATCCCAGGGAGTCAGGAAGGGGAAGTTGAGGGGGGGTGGGACCACTTGCTGTAGAGCCGTCCAGAAAGATGGGGACTGGGGGGGCCCTTCGCAGAGACAAACCAGGAGCCTGTGGTGGGGCCGTGAGGCTGGTGGGCAGAGGGCAGGCCGTTCAGCAGTGGATGTGAAAATTCTTTTCCGAAGCTTCTGGGGCAAAGAGGAAGAGGGAAAGTGAAGTGGTTAGGGGAACGGACGTGGGGAGTCAGCTTCCCTGCAGAAGGTTTCTTGGGCCTTCCAAGTAAATTCACCGCATCTGCCTGCTCCCGTCCCCCAACTTCTTCACTCTGTTAATTTCTCCCAGACATGTGCATCGGGTCCCTGTCGGCTGCAGCCATTTCTGGGCCGCATGGCTGCAGGGAGGGAGGGCCCTGCGCTGGGACTGCAGACAGAAGACCTGGGGAGCTGCTCCTTGGTCTCGCGCCCTGTTATGACTCACACTGATGAGCTCTGCCACTTTGATAGGATGCTCTGTGCTTTCTCATAAGTCCAAAGTGAGTAACAGGGGTGGTACGTTTAGTCCAAGCAGAACGTTTGGTGTTGAATTAGTCAGGCTATTTGATCCGTTGGGCATTCAAAGACCTTATACTTAGTCCTTACAAGCTTTTCAGAGGCCTAAGAAAATGATTCAGACCTGAAAAAAAATCAGACTCCAAAATACTAAAAGTAAATTGCAAAACCAGGACTGAATGTTGAAATGTCTACAGGATGAAACAGCAGGGTGATCCTAGCTCCGCATTTTTGGAGTTGTCTCAGATTACATAATTTGGGATGCAGATGTATTAATGTGCTTGGTGTCAGGAAGGGGGAGGACCCGAGAGGGTGCCTGGCTGTTTCTCCTGGCCCCTGTGTTTCTCTGCGTGTTATTCCTGAGATGCGTGAAGCCGGGCTGCCCGTGGTGGGTTAGCTCATTCCGGCATCCCTGTGTCCAGACAAGCGCCCTGCGTTGTGTTTCACCAAAATGAGCTGGGGGTTGTCAGCCTCTGTGTTCCTCACCCCTGATGCGATTTTCTGAAACTGTTTTCTCAAGGGACTGTGGAACACATACTCTCTAAACCCGAGACTCACCTTTGAGGGCTTGTTCTGGTTTTGGGGGGGATGCCTTGAGATCTTTGCGGCACTCGCTGGTTTAACCTTCTTCGTTCAAGCTCACGCCCACGTGTGCTCTTTCTGCCCCAGGTAGATGCGCCCCTTAGAGATGGTGACTCCCTCCTGAGAAGCAGGACCACCTCCGGCAGGTAAAGGCCTCCTCCGTGGTGACCGGGCTGCTTCGCCCCAGGGCCCCGCCGGCCTTTTCTCATCTGCTGCCAACGCCTTGCAGCCTGTTTCAGGTAGTTCTGGACTATCTCCCGCTGCACACAGAGTATGTTGTTTTTGTCGGTATGTTTTTTGGGGGACAGATGCATGGTTTTATCTGATTTTGGAAGGGGTCTGGGAGCCCCTTGAGAGACCCCGCTGAACCCTTTTCCCAGGGTTGCCTCCCCCTTGGCCACGGCTGTGACCAAGTGACACAGCCTCAAGTCCATGTCACCCCAGGCTCTGTGTCCATGTCACTTAGCTTGCACCTCACTCTCAGACTCTCCATTTCTGTCACATTGTAGTCCCGGGAGACGCAGGCCAGTGACTCGGTGAGTGACCCCTGGGCATCTCCTCCGCTCTGTGGGTGTTAGAAGCTGCCCTCCTCACCTGCCCTGCCCCTTGCTGGTCCTGCCTGAGTGAACCAGGCCTGGTGGGTCCCAGGCCCACTCAGTCGCGCCTTCTCTCACTTGCCTTTGAGTGAATCTCAGATATGCCCCCCTCTGTCTGTCTGTCTGTCTGTCCCTGCCTGCATCCCCACTCACCTGAACAGCCTCCCCGACTGCCTGCTCTCCCCACCTCCCCTGCTCATCTCCTGTACATATTCCACAGGGGTGCCAAAATTCCCATAAAAAAAGAAAATCTGATCGTACACCACCCTGTGACTTAAAACCTCTGAGTGGCTATTTTACCACCGACACATTGCAGTCCCAGCTCCACAGCAAGGCTCTTTGTGTCCCGGGCCCTTTCCGTCTCTCCAGCTTTGCTTCTCAGCACCTCTTTGACTTTGCTCTGGAACATGAGGGTGCTGGTCTCCCCTACGCTGTCTCCACCCCGTGGCTCAGGTAAGACTCGTTCAGGAGCCCTCCTCCAGTCCGTGTTAGGCCCTGTCTTCCCTCACATCTGGGGCATCACTCTCCCCATGGACGGTCCTGCATCTCGGTGTGACTCTGCGGACATGCCCACTCTCCCCGCTGGCTGCTGAGCAACTCGAGCCAGACCTGGGTCGTTATTCCTAGTTTTGTTCCCAGGACCAAGTGCAGACGCAGGGATGGAGTAGACCTTCCATGTACAGTTGTAGAATTCGGCAGCGAATGAACAAAAAAATGAATGGGTCTCTGGGAACATTTTACCGAAACTTAACATCTGTCATCAGAACGTGGGGTGATTTATAATCAGTTACTCACTTCAGAGTGTGACCACTTGCCAGACCATGTTCTAAGCCCTTCCCACGTGACAGCTCATTTGCCTTCAACCGCAAGTCCTGTTAACATCAACCCCATTTTGTCCAAAGGGGGAACTGCGACAAGGAGGCTGAGCTTTTCCCCATCATGTGCCATCGATGGGCACCTGGGGTGTGTCTCGTGGTCACACGTAGATGATGGCCTGAACTGTGATCATCTTGAAGAGCCAGTTCTCATTTTATATATTTTACTCTCTCTATTTTAAGTAATTACAGTGATTTTTTACCCCTGGCACCAGCACTCTGCCGGCCTACAGTAGAACACAGATTGTTAGGGCCGTCCTGACTTGGCCAGCCTTTCAGCGACAGGCCGTGTGAAGGCCGGCCGGGTTTGGCCTCATCCTTGGAATGTCTGTGTTGTTTCTTGGGCATAAAGGGATGTTTGTTAATTTTTGTCAGGAACGTGATTAGTTTGATCTTGGGTGGTGCATCTTTACCTATTTCCTCTTCATTGGCCGCACTCCCTAGATCATGTGATCCTTAACCCCCATCCTTGGGTCTGGAGCTGACCCTCCCCCCCACCTTGCCCTAGGGTCCTGGGGATGGACAGGGACTCAGAAAGTCCCCTGCTTTTTCCTGGAGCAGTTCCGGGGCAGGTGAAGTAAAACCTGGACCCCTGGGGCCAGGCTCCCGTGTCCGAGGAAGGGGTCTGAGGTCACCCAGCTCATCGCCACCTGTACACATGAGGGCACAGAGGCCCAGGTGGAGTCGTGTCCAAGATCACACTGGCCTTGGACTTGCAATCATGAAACGTCTTTTGTCCACAATTAATTTGGAATTCTGCCTGGCACCTTCCCTGTCGTCTCCCCACCCAGTCATCGAACAAGCCAGAGCTTGTGACTCAATGAACTAACCGCTGACAGGGTTTGGTTGATTTCCAACCAAACTGGCTTTATTTTGCTTTAATTAATCTGAGTAATGGGTTGACCTGGAACAGGTAATTGGGGAACGTTTTAACCCTTTATTTTCTCTTTGCCACAGAGACTTAGAACACATCCTTGTGGTGACAGAGAGAGGTGATAAGCCAGCCTGCAAGACATCGACGCCCTCTGTTTTGTGTAACGATCCGAATAGAGTTTAAAGGTACATACGGTAATAATACTATTCATCTAAATGGAGCGTGAGGGGAGGCCATTGACATGAGTAAAATGACAGGATTACAGGATTTTTAAGGAATGTGGTCTCACTGCTCTGAGGCCAGTGTCAAGGGTTGAACCAGGCGCAGGGATCCTTGTCCTCCTTCTGGGGGCGACCTGAGGGGAGTACAGCCCGGGGGATCACTCAGGCTGAGCATGTCTTTTCTTCCCCGCGCTTGCGGGCAGACCTCGGAGGGGCGGTGGCTTTGGTTCCAGACCACTGCAGCAAAACTTGTACCGCGGTAAAACGAGGAGTCACACGGATGTTTCGGTTTCCCAGTTCGTATGAAAGTTACATTTACACTATACCGCAGTCTATTAAATGTACAGTCGCGTTAGGTCTTAAAAAAAGTACATACCTTAACTGAAAGATACTTCATTGTTTAAAAATGCTACCCATCACCTGAGCCTAAAGCAAGTTGTAATCTTTTTGCTGGTGGAGGGTGCTGCCTTGATGCTGCCAGCTGCTGGCTGCTCAGGGTGTCGTTTCTGAAGGCTTGGGTGTCCGTGGCTGTTTCTTAAAATGAGACAACAATGAGGTTTGCTGCATCGACGGATGCCTCCTTTCACTTGCTCCCTTAGACGCCACTGTAAGGTTATTAATTGGCCTAATTTTGTGTCTCGGGGCAGCCCAAGGAGAGAGATGGGGGTACGGCCAGTTGGCCATTGGGTGGAACATTCAGAACACACACATTTATTGATTAAGTTTGCTGTCTTGTGTGGACCCCGTTTGTGGCACCCCCAAACAAATTGCAATAGTAACATCAAAGATCACCGATCCCAGATCAACGTAACAGATATGACAGTGTCGAAAAAGCCTGAAATGTTGTTGAGAAGTACCAAAATGTGACACAGAGACAGGAAGTGAGCAAATGCTTTTGGAAAAATGGTGCCGACAGACTTGCTGGAGGCAGCGTGGCCACCAGCCTTGAATTTGTAAGAAACACAGGATCTGTGAGGTGCAGGAAAGCGAAGCGCAATAAAACAAGGTCGGCCTGTGCTTAAAAAACACTTCATAAGTTTTTTAAAATACCTTTTAGTACCACTTCTTAAATAGAACATTTTCCAGCTAATATTCAAGTGATCACATGCCATTCAAGTCTGAATTTGTGATGTCTTAGTTAAAATATTTCCATGTTTGCAGTTAACTTATGGCCACAGATAAGAATATAGGCAAGTTTCATCTCCTGTAAAACTAAAAGGGCAGATTTTTTCCAAAGCATGGAATTACACGGTCTGCTCTGGCCATGGCCCCTGAGGTGGGGGGAGAGGGTTAGAATTTCTTTAGTTCATCTTTTTGCTCATTCCATGAGCACTTACCTCGGGCTTCCGAGTTCCAAGCGCAGCGCTGGGTGCTGTAGGTGTGGTGATAAGCAGGCCGTGGTTCCTGCCCCCATGAGGCTTCCTGCCCTGGGGTGACAGTAGTGACCTGTGCTAGGGGCCGTGACCGGCACTGACCAGGTTGCTCTGGGAGCCCAGAGGAGGAGGGCCTAGCCCGGCAAGGCTCTGAGGGGCTCCCTGTGCTGTTGGGAGGATGACCCCCGATGCGACCTGATGAGTTGGGAGGTACTCTCCCCGCCAGGTTCAGGGTGGAGGGAATAGCAAAGGGGAGGGCTCTGAGGTGGGAGAATAGGTCCAGGGGAGGGCTGATGAGTGCACTGGGTTTGGGGAGAGGGAGACAGGGGCAGGGGACTGAGTCTAGGGAGAGAAGTCAGAGCCTCAGCACAGAGGACCTGGATGCTTTTGCTGAGGGTGTGGGCTTCTTTGGGTGCCAGTGCAGGGGTCCTGAACCCATCATTTGGTGAGTATGAATTTGTAAGCTCTTTGGACTGAATGGAACCAGTAAGTCCACAGGCAGAGAGACAGGTGGGGAGCCAGTTGGCATAATTTATCCAGGCAGGAGCTGGTGACTGTTGAGCTAAAGGGGCATCAGCGTGAGTGTGAGTGAACTGGGCTGGTTTGATGGTCTCAGGAGACAGACTGGTTAGGACTGAGGATTGCAGCTCTGGGGGTGGCGGCATAAGGGCCACGGAGCCCAGGCCTCTCACCGGGTGGGTGGGTGGGTGTGTGTCTGGCAGTGGTGTCCCTGTACTGAGTTGGGGAGCAGTCCTGGTGGGGAGAATGAGTTTGGTTTGGGGCCCGTGGAGTGTGAGGAATTCATAGGTCTTTGAACAGACTTGTGCACGAGTTCCCTGGAGGTGCGAGGCTGGAATCGACTGCACTGACGTGTGCAGTACACTTACCCCACTCAGAAGCACCGAGCAGGAACATTCAAAAGGGAAAACTTCAGTAAACTGAACACGAACTTCATTTGGATGAACGTTTTGTTAATCTTAAGCTGTGTGACTTTGTCCCTAATTCTGTCAAAAATCACCTTCCTTTTCCCCATTTCCATTCAGAAGCACTGTCACATGAATGATGCAGGGGGCTGACCCATCAGAGACAATGTATTAGATAATTAACTATATTATGTCATACACTCATTAAGTGTAGACAGAGCAAGGGCAGATGAGGGTGGGGCCAGGTGGGGAGTCAGTGTATGTAGTTTTAGAGATTTTTGGGGGGAGAATAGTAACATTTAAAATTTTTCTTTCATTCCTCTGTTTCTCCAGGAGAATATGAAAGTTTTACTCAGGCTTGTTTGCTTCATAGCTCTACTGATTTCTTCTCTGGAGGCTGGTAAGTCAGCATTTCCCTGTGTGCTTGTCTGCTAAGCAAATCTGTTATGAAGGACCTTCCCTAACCGAGTCATTGTCTTCCCTGTTTCTGTGGACTCCGGGGACACAGAGCCTCCTGGTCACAGAGCTGTGATGCTGGGTGTCCTGTCAACAACTTGACTTCTCCTTCTCTCATTTTCACTTGGGAAACTGAGGCCAGTTAGGTTGAGAGCCCGAGGTCCTGCAGCCTGTTTCAGAGCAAGACCTAAAATCCAGGTCTCCGGTGTCTAGTCCAGGTGTCTCCCCACTTTGCAACTGATTGACAAGTACAGTATGGGAAATCTTGGCTTTCATTCGGGAGAGGCGTTACATTGTCTATATGAACCTGTGGCTGAAAGGCATCAGGAGATAGTTCTTTATCTTCTCTAGTTATTAATTGTCTCTCCTCCCCTCTCCCTCTCTTCCTGCAAATGCATTTAGCCCCTACCACGTGCCAGGCACAGCGGTGTGTCATCCAGGCAGAAGTATCTGCCTGCATGGGGTCCACCTCCCAGCAGGGGAGAGAGACTGCTTATTGGATAAGCAAATATGTTCTATGTCATATGGTGGTAAGTGTAGACAGAACAAGGGCAGATGAGGGGAAGAGAACAAAAAGCAGGAAAGGAACGTGTAAAGTTTTGGGATGGGGGTGGGCAGAAGGTTAAATTTTTTAATACGGTGGCCAGAAAAGGCCTCACCAAGTTTTGACTTTTGAGTTGAACCTGAAGGAGTGGGGAAGAGGGGGTGGAGCTATGTAGATATCAGGTTAGGGGTGAGGAAGCATTCCGGGCAGCATATGCCAAGGCCCTGAGGCCAAGAGGATTGGCACGAACAGGAAATGAAGTACCAGTGTGGTTGCAGCAGAGTGAAAGGTGAGGGATATGAAGAGGGATGAGGTCGTCTGGGTAATGGGGGTTGGAGGAGGGTTGACTGTGTGGACCTTTCTAAGGATCTCAGCTTGTACTCTGAGATGGGAAGACTGGGGTTCTTTGTTTAAAACCAGAGAGCTGCTCTAACGTATATTTCACAGGCTCATTCTGGTTCTTTTATGGTGAACAGACCAGAGGGAGGCAAAGGCAGAAATAGGGCGGCCACTTAGAAGGCCATGACAGTAATCCAGGCAAACTGAGATGGTAGCTTATCCGAGGGTGACAAGGGGAAGTGAGCAGTCAAGGGTTGGATATATCTGGAGGACAGAGCCTACAGGACTTGCAGATGGACTGGATGTGGGTGTGAGTGTGAGGGAAAGAGAAGAATCAAAGATGACTAAGGGTTTGGCTTGAGCAGATGCAAGGTGGGTTTGCCATTAATGGGGTGGGCGAAGGGCAGGTATTCAGACTGGGCATGTGAAGTTCAGCTGCCCAAATAAGGATGCTGACTAAGCGGTCTGGAGCCCAAAGCTTGGAGGCATAGAATTGAAGACCTCAGCAAGCTGGTATTAGAACCATGAGACTAGACGAGACCACCTGGGGAGCGAGTATGGTTAGAAGAGAAAAGAATTCCAAGGACTGAACCTGGCAGCCCTCCGAGTACTGGTGGTCAGGCTCCCACTCATCCGAGAACCAGTGAAAGACTGGCCTGAACTGTAGGAGGCAAACCAGACAAATGCCCTGAACCCAAGTGAAGAACGCGGTTCAGGATGCGAGAATGTACCACATGTCCCATGCAGATGTGTCAAGAAGAAATAAAGAGATTCGTATCACGTGTGCTGAACTTGTCCTGCAGCTAACTACCGCCCTGTTTCTTTTGTCCCATCATTTTTCTCTCTGTGTTTCATTTTGAAGAGTTTCTAATGCTGTATCTTGAAATTCACTAAGCTTTTCTTTTGTGGTGTCAAATCAGCTGTTAATCACATCCCGTGTGTTTTTTTAAGTCAACACTGTAGTTAGTTTTCATCTCGAGAAGTTTGATTTTGGTTTTTTTTTAATCTCTTTCATTTTTCTACTCAACGTGCTTGATATGGAACCTTGAATACATGGAACATGATAGTAATAACTATTTTAATTTTTCCATCCCTTCTGTCATCTGTGTCACTTATGGGTCAGTTTTGATAGGACTGACTTTTTTCCTCCTTATTATTAGTTACATTATGCTGCCTTTTCGCACGCCTAGTAATTTTTGATTGGATGCTAGCTATTGTAGATTTTACCACGTTGGGTGCTGGATTTATTTATTAATTTTTTATTACTAAAAATATTTTTGAGCTTTGTTCTTCCACAAGGCTAGTTGATCCTTTTGGGTCATGCTTTTAAGCTTTGCTAGGCAGGATCAGAACAAGGTTTATTCTAGGCCTAATTTGCTCTGTCTACTGAGTCACGTCTCTTCTGGGTTCTCCACCTGATGCCCCTGATGGGTGAGGCTGTCCGTTCCGACTGTCGAGAGCAGCCGCTGTTCCCAGAGTGTGGGTGTGTGTGCTCCAGGTGTTGTTCACGCCAGTCCTTTTGGCAATTCTTGCTCTGGCCTTCGACAGTTTTCTTACACGCTTATGCTAATTGATTCCCAGCTGCAAGCGTGAGAGGGACTCCCTGTAGACTTCCAAAGCTCGCTCCCTGTCTGTGCAGCTCTGACCTCTTTGGTACTTTGCCCTGCAGTCTCCTGGATTACCTGGACCTGTAGCTCCATCTCCTCAACTCGAGAGAGAGGGCGAGGGGCTTCGCCATCGTCTCCTCCCTGCAGTGTCATGGCCTAGAGTCTCTCTCTAGACAGTAATTTGGGAAAAACCATTGCCCCTGCACCCTCTTTGTTTCCCGTCTTTCTGGCATTTCTGTCCTCTATGTTCCCTGATGTTCAATGCCTTGAACGTTGTTGTTTTATATACTTTGTCCATTTTTTAGTTATTCACTTGGGAGGGTAACTTCTGGTTATTCCGTCTTTTAACTGAAGCAGAGTATCTGAGCTGAATATCTCTCCTGTTACCTTATCCCCAATTTTTAGCTGGATAGAAAGGATGAGAGAGGTTAAATGACCTGCCGAAGGCACACAAGTAGTGAGTGATGCACTCGATTTGAATCTGAATCTTTCATCAGACTCCCAAGATAATTCTCTTAATCATAAGGCTGTTAACACTCTCATGTGTAACACGAATTGACATGCTTCATCACTGATGCCTTTCTGTTTAGACAGTGCATGAAGAAACACTGAGAGAAATGACTTTCCCTTTCTCCCTTTTAAAGACAAATGTGAGGAACGTGAAGAACAAGTAATTTTAGTTTCATCTGCACATGAAGTTGATGTCCGTTCATGTCCTCTTATCCCAAGTGAAAACAAAGGCGCTATAATTTGGTATAAAAATGACAGCAAGACAGTGGTGTCTACGGAAAGAGACTCCAGGGTCCATCAGCACAAAGATAAACTTTGGTTTGTTCCTGCTAAGGTGGAGGATTCAGGACATTACTACTGTGCAGTAAGGTAAGAGAGGGATTCATATGTTACCAACCTGTGTCCTGTGGACCTGCCGTGGCTAAGGACAGAAAAATCTTCTAATAAACCTCTTTTAATTTATTTTAGAAATTCAACTTACTGCCTCAAAATTAAAATAGCTGCAAAGTTTGTCCAGCACGAGCCTGCCCTGTGTTACAGCGCACAAGCTGTGTTCACACAGAAACTGCTGGTTCCTGGAGATGGGCAGCTTGTCTGTCCTTACTTGGATTTTTTAAAAGATGAAAGCAATGCGTTACCCGAAGTCCAGTGGTATAAGGTAATTTTATATTAAATACGGCGTTTTACTTCTCCAGCAAATAAAAATACTTCTCTGCACGGACAATAGGGTAAACTTTTTCATCTGGCATACTGTTTGCTTTTGAGTGGTGAAACTTAATAGGATGTTTTCAAAAAAAGTTTAAAGACGGTATTCATTTAATCTGCAGCTTAACTAAAAATCTTGCTTTCTGTTACTTTTGGTTAATAAGATATAGTTGAGAAAAGCACAGTAGGCATAAAAGATGTTCAAAGATAAGGGTGGTCATAGATTTAGAGGTTTTAAGAGACAGCTGTTTATTGTGTATGATTTTGTGATTTATTACAAAAGTTAAGCGGTCCTTAGGTAACTTAGTGGTTTCTGTAATTGCCTGAAACGTGATTGGCCAGCGCTACATCATGTTTTAGTATTTTTGCTTTACCTGATTTGTTGAAGCTTACATGAGGAATCACCTTATAGCGTTTAAAAAGTACAGAAGAAATAATGTCGGTGAACGACGGAAGTACAGCGTTACTAAGAAACAGTGTGTTATTAGCATTCTTTCCTCAAATGTGTTTTTCTTGCAAAATAAATTTGTTTTCAGTTGTCTTCAAAGTGCAAGGCTCGTAGGCAGAAAAATGTAACATCCTGGGAATATAATGATGACTTTGCAAGCAACACAATATTAAAACTTGCATGTAAGGAACTTCTCTATTCATGTATATATGAATATAAATATGAATGATTGCTTTTCAATCCTTGTTTCTTCTTCTTCTGTCTAGGACTGCCAACCTCTACTTCTTGACAGCGTAAACTTTGCTGGGGTAACTAATAAACTCATCATGACGAATGTGACGGCAGCGCATAAGGGACACTACACCTGCCGTGCCTCCTACATGCACTTGGGAAAGCAGTATCATGTCACCCGCGTTATAGAACTGATTACCCTAGGTGAGTCAGAGCTCCAGGCCTAGGAGTTTAAATCCAAGGAGGCTCAGAGACTCAGCATTCTAATACATCACTGTCCATGGAGGGACTTAATCCAAGAGAAGCTTTGTCACTTGCCAGGGGTCACATGGCTCTGGTTTAGTTTTGGTTGCTGCATACCATGTCTGTGTCTTTCCTTCCTGTCTCAGATTCAGTGCTGGTGAAACAGTTGGGATGAGCTCCGTTTTCCAGCTGAGCTAGGAGGCTTGCTCCTTGGTGTGGCGGGGAGCTCGGGGGCTCCTCTGGCTGGTACATGAGGAAGGACAGTTCTGAGATCCCTCACTTGGGGAGCTGCAGTGTCTGGCAGTCACTGGCGTGGCGGATGGATGCTAATGGACTTTGGAAGAAGTTCTACTCTTGTTCGCTCTCTGTTAGCCCAGTGACTCAACCTATCTAAGCCTGTTTCCTTCTCTGTAAGATGGTGATACAACCTTCCAGGGTTGTTGGGGAGGTGAGAAGTCAACTGTGCTTGGCTTGTGGTCACATGCCTGGTGCCAAACGGATGAGAAATACATCGGTGCATGGTGATTATTCTTGTTAATTTTCCTGAGGCTTCTATTAACCATGTTGCATATTAAAAACTACTCTACAACAAAGGAAAACAAAATGCACTCCTGCAGATTACATGAGGATGGGCAGAATGCTCAACCTTTCTGTCGCTTCCAGGATTTTCTCATATAAGAACAGAGTTATTCTAACTAGGACCTTGGGAGTTAAAGGTGTCTCCCTCTGTTAGTACTTATTCTGCGGAAACAGGCATAAATAGGGGCTATTCCAGGTAAACCCAGAATATAATCACTTTAGAGACAGCTGCATTTTCTCAGTTCTACACTAATTAATTTTTTTCCAAGGTTAATTTTATTGAATCAAAATCAGTTCCTTGCATATGTCCTACAAGCATCGGTGACTCATAATCTTCAACAATCCTTGGGTCACAACCATCCTGAGTTCTTGGCAGCCCCTCTGTGTTCATGGTGTAGCTCTGATTGGCTTTCCCTACAAATCTATGGAGGTTTTTCCTGCCCATTTGGTTCCTGCTACAACCAGACCGGAAGACAGAATTTTAGGGAAAACGGGGCAGCACAGAATTTTAAAGACAGGTCAAATAGGTTTTAAATCCTCTCCGCCATTGTTCTCTGATCCCTTATGTGGAAATAATATACTTCATCAGGGGTGAGGTTATATTTTGTTTTCTTCTAAAGGTGGATTCAGGAGTATTCGCTGGGCTTCTGCTGTGCCCCAGGCACTGTTCTAGGTACACAGCAGGGAACAAAAGAGGCAGTACCCTGCCCTGACAAAGCTAATAGTTGTTTTCTTATTTGGACTGTAGTGGCGAGCATCCTGGACATTCAGGTTGGTAGTTTCTCAGGCTCGGCTCCAGATCAACCCTGGAAGCCAGGGGTTCTTGTAGATAAAAGTCAGATTCATTTTCTAGGAGCTCCTTAATATATTTTTCTGCTCATTTTAATAAATTATGCCAAGTTGTTTGGCATGTTTCAATAACAGTGTGACTTTCACTTTTGGGTCATTGTGAAAATTACTAAATGCAAGCCGGTGTCATGCTGGTGGCCTTCTGGTGACTGAAGCGCCACCCAGGGGTGTCCCTTTCCATGAAGACTCGTTTTTTTCTGATTTGCATGAAGAGAGGCACTTGTCTGGAGGTCCAGGGCCTGGTGATGTGTGTGTGTGTGTGTGTGTGTGTGTGTTTTACAGCACCAAACACTGTGGGTTCAGAGGGGCCCAGGTGTTAGGGGTTTTGCTGTGGCTCTGTGTCAGCCTCCCACCTTCACCTCTCGCCTTCTGTCTCCTGCTGTACGGGCTTTGGTCACTGGAGGGGACATCAGGAGAGGCCATGCAGTATATTGTGGCATCTTTTGGCAAGTGTTGTCATCACTTGAGGCTGAGGTAAGCCCTGTGCATGTTTTTCTTTCAGTGAAAAACAAGATCATGAGACCTGAGATTGTGAGTCCAGTTAATGAGACGATGGAGGTGAACTTGGGTAAGTGGGCTCCCATCAGGATAAATGGTTCTCACAGACACTGTGCAGAGTGTAGACTGGTACAGTCTTGCTTGGGAGAGGGGGGGTTTGGCTTTTAAAACACAGATCTCTTTAACTCAGTTCTTCCAGATCTTCATTCAGGGTAATATTTCAGGATGTGTGCATTGTTGATGTGCAGGAACAGTGACTGATATATTGATCACAATAATGAAAAATTGGAAACTAGTTCTGTTCAGCAATGGGGAAGGTGTTCATCATGGTATGTCTGTATTATGCATGACTAGGCAGTCATGAAACAGCCTGTTTTGGAAGTCTAGTCACGTGAGCCCAAATTCCTAATGCACAATAATTAGACAATAACACCCCATTTAAAAATTGCATATGTGCACAGAGAAGGTACAGAGTGAGACACATAAAGTTATTAATAGCGATTCTCTCTCAGAGGTGGATGTAAGGCAATTTATCTTTTACTTTGTGCTTTCCTATAATTAAAACTTTTCATTCAACAGTCATTTGTTAACCTAGATCGATAGATCAAAGTCCATTCATGTTGTGCTGAAAAGTACGTTGCTTTGCAGGATCCCAGCTCCAGCTGGTCTGCAATGTCACCGGCCGGTTGAGTGACTTTGTCTACTGGAAGTGGAACGGGTCAGCAGTTCCCGAAAACGACCCAGTGCTGGTGGAAGACTTTAGACTGTAAGTATGCTAAGAGCCAGTCATGCCATTGGGACGATTTTGTATTAAGTTCCGTGTCATACTTTATATCACCATTGTGATTTGATCTAAAGCAAAGATGAGTTGGGAGTTGATGGGTCCTTAACTCTTTGTTGCCTATTTTGGGTCTTGCTCAGCTGAGCAGGATTCATAAGCTCTTGTACATTGAAGGTAAATATACATGTCATCAGGGTGCAAATTCCAGACCACTCTGAAAGCTTTCTCTTAAATTCAGTTAAAAACGTTGCAGCATTCCAGTGAAGGAGTTGTCCTGAATTCTCCTTCACGTCCTTCCATTTTCAGAGTAGTCTAGGAAAGACTCATGATTTGTGGCCAAGAATCAGGCACTCCCCTGCTCAAGTCTCTGACAGCTCCCTGCGCCCCGTCTCAGGATGAACTCCTGACTCCATGTCACCTGCAAACCCTTTGATATCTGCCCCGATTTGATCTTGTTTCATATATTCTCTGTGCCCCCGTGGAGACCAGAACCCATATGTTCACGTTTTTCTTCTTGGAAACTGTAACTTTAATTTGATTTCTCTGCTGCTCAGTCTTGTATGGTCCTGGGGCCGTGCGGTATCGGATCAGTGTTGCTCACAACCTGATTATTAGACCTGTGCTCAGGGCTGGGGATGATTTCTGCTACAGTTTATGCAACAAGGAGATAAAGCTTGGACGCGTGCCTCATCTGAAACTGATGCGATTTTCGTTACGTAATTTCGTTTTCTCTCTTTTGAACAGAGTGGAGAACCCTTTAAACAAAAAACGGAGCACAGTCATCGCAGTGCTTAATATTTCAGTAGTGGAAAGTAAATTTTATCTACATCCATTTACCTGTTTAGCCAAGAATACCGATGGCATGACTACAGCGTATATCCAGTTAATACATCCAGGTAGACAACGCGGGCTGTTTACTTGAAATGCCATTTTGTCTCACCAAGATAAGACTCCAGGACTTTGAGCTCTACTGTGCTATTCCCTCTGCCCAGGACACTCTGAGATTCCTCTTAACCTGTGGACCTTCCATTCCTTTTTCACATCTCAGCTCAACTATTTCTTCTAGAAGTCCTTCTGTCCTGCTGCCCAGCCTTAACCCAGCTCTCTGCCCAGACGGACGTGGCTGGGGCCTCCGCTGTGTTCTTCCGTAGCACCGTCTGTCCCTGTCACAGGACACCCTTAGTTTCCTTTACTTGATTGTAAGTTCTGCGATGGTGCAGATAATTGCTAATCATTCTGTTTCCAGACTTACGTCTGGTCCTTCTAGGTACCTAATGAATACTTTTTAGGTACATGAGTACATGATGGATGCACCGGGGAAGCCTAAATACCCACTTTTCAGAGAGGACGTCAGAAGTGACTGGTTTCCATGAACTGTAAAATCAAACACAATATTGAAAGTATCTGTGAAGTATTTTAAGATACTATGTAGTTGAATTAAAATAGGTTATTTATGAGTATGTACATGGAAGAAAAAAGAATCTATGGACAAACTATTAGAATTAGTAAATGAATTTAGCAAGATCACTAATGTGTGTGTATATATATATGTATATATATGGTATTTCTGTGTGTGTCTGTAAATATCGACAACAAATAAATAGAAATTAAATTTAAAAGATAACATTTACAGTAGCATCAAAAAATTGTCAAAGCCTTAGGAGTAACTCTAGCAAAAGCTGTTCAACTTCTCTGTTAGACAAACTAAAAATATGTTACTGAGAGAAGACCTAACAGATGGAGGGGTATACAATATTCATAGGTTGAAAGTCTCAGTATGATAAAGACGTTAGTTCCCCACAAATGAATCTATAGATTCAAAACAATTCCAATCAGAATCTCAGCAGTGTTTGTGCATTTGTGGGTATGTGTCTGTGTGAGTGTGTTGCTGTGGGCATGTTTATTCTGAAAGTCACATGGAAATGTAAAGGGCCAAGAGTTGAGGTGGTCTCGCATTAAAAACAACGAATCTGGAAGATTTACCCTACAGATCCTGTACAAAGCTACAGTAATTAAGACTGTAAATGGGAACCATCCATTGGGCCAGTCAGATATTGATCTGGAAAATGGTATATCTTGATTTCTGCTTCATACCCAGATCGATTACAGGTCGATCAGTGACCTAAATTGGAAAAGTAAATAACAGCTCTTGGTAGATCCAGCATCTTCCCTGGATGCCTCCTTGGTCCCTGACACTTAGAAGGCTCTTTTTTCTTTCTTTTTTCTCCACCTGCCTCCGCACCTACAGCTCCACCTGACTCCTCTGTGGTCACTGGGTGAATAATTAGCATGCGGAGCTGGTAGAATGTGGAAGTCTAGGGTGTTCTTTCTGGCATCCCTAAGCCCTTCTTTCCTTTCCCCGAGTCTTCAACTTTTTCCACTTGACTCTCCTATTCTTAGAGAACTTTTGTCGGCTTTTGAGTGAACTTGACTCCACTCATTTTATAATGGGTGGCTCTATCATATGGTCTTTGGCATTTTTCCTATGTTATTGTGTATTATACTCCTTAGGTGGAAATTTAATGTAGTGCCCCTTAATTTTATACAGTATCCATCCTCAATGGCTTTGCACATAAGTATCCATAAATAAGAGATGATAACAAATGAGTTATGACTGTCTGGGATTTGGGATTACAGGCCAGTCCCAAATACGGTTTCTCATGTTTAATTTGCTCTGCTCAAATTTTAAATTCTTTGGGCTCTAATATTTTTTTCTACCTCTTTTTCTGCTCTAGTCCCTGATTTCCAGAAGCCCACGATTGGTATATGTGTCATGTTGACGCTGGTCATTACATGCTCTGTTTTCATCTATAAAATCTTCAAGATTGACATTGTGCTTTGGTACAGAGATTCTTGCTATGTTTTCCTCCCAAAAAAAGGTACAATTTTGTATTCTGTGCAATATTTTCTTGTTGGGGGTGGGTAGCTAAGAGATACAGAAGATAACTAAGAGGATTTTTACTTGAATTTTAAAATGAGATGTAACATATACAAAAATAATAGAATTATACGTACTTACAGTTTCATAACCAAACAGACCGAACAGTAGTATTTTCTAAGTGACTGCTTGGTGTTCATGCTGCTGCGACACACAGACACTCAGAGCATCTGCTTATAAATCCAGCCATTCAAAAGCTGTGGTTGAGGACCTGTTTGAGGACCTGTGCTGGGTAGGACAGAGGTCACCCCATGGTCTGTCTTCAAATGAAAGAAAGGATTTAGTTTTCATGCATCAGGGAAGTGCACTCTCCTTTGTTTAAACCTTGCAAAGAAAAAGAAACTAGGACAACACTAATACAGAAAAGGCAGAAGGGATAGAATTCAGGGCTGACATATCTGGGGAAGAAGATGAGATCAGAAAGACAAGAACAGCTCCATGTTGAGGGGTAAAGAGTCTTTGCATAGAGGGGGCCCTTGAATCATACAAGAACTTTTTAGTAAAACACAATAATAGAGACTTGTGAGAGATGAACTCTGTAAAAGGTGCTATGCTTTTGGAGTTGTTGCTTCGTACCATTGTACAAAAAATTAAGAATTCATTGTGAAATGCACGTTTGAGATTTTGACTTTACCAAATCTCATTTATTTTCCTTTCGGTTCTAAATATATTGCATTTTTTCCTTCAGCTTCAGATGGAAAGACGTATGACGCGTACATCCTATGTCCAAAGACACCTGAGGAAGGGGCCACCTCTAACTCAGATATTTTTGTGTTTAAAGTCTTGCCTGAGGTCTTAGAAAAACAGTGTGGATACAAGCTGTTCATCTGTGGCAGGGATGACTACGCTGGGGAAAGTATGTATGCAATGGAAGAAAATTAAAAGCCTTGCAAAACGAATTTAATTACTAAAATTGGGTTTCCTCCTTCCGGAAGACCGTGGCATGAGTGTACAGATTTGACAAATTTTAAGAACCTCTTCGGTGGTGTAATGGGATGATTTTCACATGTATTAAATGCAAAGTGTTTACTCTTCTCATATTTTATTGTGGCAAGAATTAGCTAAATTTTATTTTGTTTTGGAAAACTTAACAGCTAGTAGATCCAGTAGTTCCTTTACAGCCAACAGTAACACAGGAGTGGTATGGAGCCAAAGGTTCAACAAGGAAGTTTGTCAAATTCTACTTAACATTATTCTGACTCCTAAATGAAATACTCACCTTTTGTGGGTCAAGTTTTGAGCCCTGCTATAAAATGAGAAACTCTTTCAATCTTAAGTAAGGCAAGTTAAAAAAAAAAAGAGCATTCAGAGACAGAGGGGATGGAGTGGGAAGAACCTTGAGGGCTCTTGGTTCTGGAGAGAATGATGATAAATGGGAACTTGCCTTCCCATGTGTGCTTTGTGTTTTTCAGGCATTGTTCAGGTTGTCAATGAAAACATAAAAAAGAGCAGAAGACTGATAGTCATATTGGTGCGAGAAACATCGGGATTCAGCCGGCTGGGGAATTCATCCGAAGAGCAGATAGCCATGTACAATGCCCTCATTCAGGAAGGAATTAAAGTTGTCCTGCTGGAGCTGGAGAAAATCCAAGATTATGAGAAAATGCCAGAATCCATTCAATTCATTAAGCGGAAACACGGGGCCATACGCTGGTCAGGGGACATTAGCGAAGGGTTGCAGTCTACGAACTCGAGGTTCTGGAAAAAAGTCAGGTACCACATGCCAGTCCAGCGGCAGCTGCCTTCATCCAAGCACCAGCTGCTGTCGCCGGCCACTAGGCGGGACTCGAAGGAGAAACGGCCAAGGGAGGTCCACGTGCCTCTCGGGTAGGGGAGAAGCTTGGCCAGAGTCCCTTGGTGACTCCTGTCTTTGGGCATTGCAGGCTGGGCTGGGCCTCGCCGACTTGTACAGTCATACTGCACACCTGTGCAGTCCCTTATCCTGGAGGTCACCTGGAATCGGGTTGTTAAGGGAGCAGGACGTGGTGCCAATAGCAGGCCAGGGCGATTCAGAGCAGAGGACTTGGGAGTCCTTTAAAACAGGAAACAGATGCCCTGTCTGAATGTCTGAACTGCTGAGAAAAGGCACAGGGGCAGCACACAAGAGGAAAGAACCTGCAGGAGATGGCCACCTTCTCTAGATGGCTTTAGGAAGTCACCCGCCGTCTGAGGGCGGGGCTGGGCCCAGTCTGGGGACGGCGGGGGCACCGGCCCTCGAGTGGCTCTCCCGGACACTGCGGCCGGCAGGGTGAGACCCACGCTTCCCAGGGGAAGGAGGAAGCTTTCCTGGAGCGCTTTCCCCCATACCCGCCTCCGCAGCTGGCAGTCAGTTTCCAAAGATGGAATTACATTTCACAGACCTTTTAAAACTCATCTCTGTGGACAAAGGAATTCTCTGGGATTCTAAGGCTTGGTTATAACCTCAGCTTTCTGCTAAAGAGAGAATTTCAAGAGCAGGAATAGAAGAGAATGATCCACGTTTAATGCTGCCCCTCGGGATGAACATCGGTTCCACTTTAGTCTGCATTTTACTTGACGCTTCACTTCTGCGGAAAGATAACTTCCAAGTTACCTCCTCCGTACACCGTCACACACACAGCCCACGGGTCAACCAGCCTTCCCAAGATGCTGCTCTGATCTCCTCTCACTCTGCTCTTGCTGGAGCAGCTCCACGGGCTCCTCCTGGTTCAGGAGCTAAAGCCCACGTTCTTCTCCCACCAGCATTTCCCCATCACCCCACACCCCCAGCCCGCCAGCATAGCCAGCCCCATCTGGGTCCTGCCGTGTGAATCCCCGGGTGGTACCCCCTCAGACCTCCCCCACCTGTTCCTCCATCACTGCCTCCCCTCCTCCCTCCTGTCTCCCTGGTCAGAAATCCTCCCCCGTCTCCTCCAGCTGACCAGAATTTTACTGGAACACAAAAGCTTCTCCAATTCCCTTTCCCCAGGAAACTGCTCGAAGGTCCTGGCTCTCTTTTTCTCAGTCTGATAGTATGCGCTGTTGGCTGTCACTTCCGTTGCCAGCCCGAGCCCTGCTCTCTGCAGGAGAGGCGTGGGTGTGTCCCTTTCCCCAGGCGCTTTCAGAAGTAATTCGCACCCATCACACAGATTTGTATAGTGCTTTATTGTTTTAAAATGTCCACAGCTGATCTTACTTAATTTTCAGAGTCATCCTAATTTTATAGAGAGTGCAAGTGACCTACTTTAAATTTCATCACATTTTTAGTTTCTCTGTCTTGTCTCTCCTTAGCTGGCTTCGAGTGCAGTGTTCTGAATGTTGGATGTCAGGTCAGCACAAGTCTCCTTTCCCCCTGCTCCAGCACTTTGGTGAGAAGAAATGATAGTTTTTGAGGATGGTGGCTGATTCTAGAAATGCTTTTATTTAAGAAACCGAATTCTAAACTTCCGAATCATGGAATTTACAAAAATTAGGTTTTGATTTTATGGAAGACTTTTCTGCTTTCCTATATTCTTTCAATAAGGTAAATATTTCTTAGGAAATTAAAATGAAAGCAGGTTTTTCTTTTGTATGGAAAAATATTTTTTAAAACTTGATGGCAGTCCTCCAGGATCATAGAGAAACCCTGGAAAACCCCAACGGCAAGTTTAAGTGCCGCTTACTGCAGGACACAACACACAGTTTTACATGTTGTACAAACATGGACAGGCCTTCTGTTTTTTAATATTTTTAATTTTTAATATTATGGGGGAAGACAAACTTTTCTTTGGTATTTTCCCCCAAAGCAATCAGAACCAGACAAGAATAGATTTTAGTATTTTGACTCTTCCCTTTCCACCTGTTTCTCCGGGATCCCACCTGACGTCATTGAGGAATAGTGCTGTTTGGGGGCCGTTGTTTTAAGAGAAAGTGCCTCCTCTTCGTTTGGCAGCAAATTCAGACTGTAGCCAGCAGTCTGCGGGGTTGGAGGAGCAGGGCTGTCACATCCCCACCCCCCGAAGGGCCTATGTGATGCTTTAAATATGCAATGTTGCGGATCACCTTTAGCTTCCCACCTATAAAGTCTATTGGCATGTGTGGTGCCAAGAAAGTGAATTCTGAAACTCAGCATTAGTGGCAAAATCGGCCAGAAAGTCAGGAGGGGGCAAAACAACCAAGAATTAACAGTGGCCTTGCACGTGGAGTTTAGGGAGGGCTAAGCAGGGATGTGCGGGCGGAGGAGGAGGTGCCCCGCCAGGAAAGTGGGGCGGGAGGATCCCGGGAGAAGGCACTACACCCCTGGTTCCCTGGGAACTTCCTTTGCTTTATTGTTTTCCCAGGAAAACCTCTTTTAAGTGCTTCCTTTCAGGCTTTCCCTGTTAATTATATTTCACTGCAGTATCCGATGGTAATTTTTTTTTTTTTGGTCAGCCTAAGTGTTTAGGTTTGCAAATGCGCCAAAGTGTTTCATTTCCAGTTGTTAAAACTGACTTAGTGAGATTGATAGCTTCCTTCTTCTGCCTCTGTTTTATTTGCAGTAAAAGGAAGGGTATTGAGCCATTTTTTTCTCAATGACGTTTTTGATAAATTCTATTTGTACTGGGTAATGATGAAGGGTTTTTTTTTAACTTGTTTGTATAATTCTGCAGCAGATACCAAATAGTTTTATATCGTAAAACACCGGATTCATGTGCAGCACGTGTCCATGGACTGTAATCATTTTCCAATAAAACTGTCAGAACCTGGTACTGAGTGTCCTCCTTCGGGTCCGCTTCTTAGCCAGCCCCCTCCTGGGTTCACCTGCGGATGGAGAGTGAGGGCCCCTTCTGCCTGGGGGAGGGGGGCCAGGGCTCCTCAGCCCACCGGTGAGGGGCTAACTGCCTCCAGGAACCTCAGCTGCGCGCCCCGTTTGCTTGCTTCGAAAATGATTAAAATGTGATTCTTCTTATTATTAACCCTTTACTGGTCCAAAAACTGATCAAGGCGACATTTGTATAGACTTTTACATTTTACAAAAGGTTGTATTTATTTTCTCCTTTGACCCAGGAGGTGATCAAAAGCGACAGATTTGGTGTCCGAAATGCCAGCCCTGATGCTCACAGATCAGGGTGCCCTCAGAGCTGGTCAGTGCCCCTTTCTTCCTGCCTCATAGCTGTTCTAACAAGCAGGTGGCTCTCGCCCTGCGGAGAAGGATGCAGGTGGCAGGTCGCCTTGGAGTCCACGCAGCCAAGTAGGAGGACTTCAGAAAATGATAGCTTTGTCTGTCGTAACTTGGTTTTCTCAAGTCACATTGGAATCTGCAAAAAAAAAGAAAAGAAAAAGGAATGGATAGAGCGCAGAAGTGGCAATTGACACCAAGGGAGGAAGAAAAGCAACATAAAAATTAGGACCAACTACAAGACAGGCAGGTTAAGTGGTGGTGGGTGGAGACCAGGAGCCCTGCTCACCTCCCCCCGGCAGCCCAGAGGTTTCCAGGTCACTGAGGGCCCATGACTGTCCCCACTGACCCTCTGCCAGCCCCAGACTTTAAAGGATGTGTCATAGTCTGGAGAAAAAATGGGATTTGTTTAATTCATAACTGAGGGATTTTTCAATAAAAATGAAAAATGCAAGAACTTTGGAAAATTGAGGAGTCAGCTATCCAGAAGACTTACCTACACAGACTATCTCACTGGAAGAATTCAGAGAGATTTTACCATATTTTGGTTATTTTGCCAGTTAATGTTTTTAGCAAACAAAAAAATCAGTGCTAATAGCCATGAAGTCTTTTTTTTTTTTTGTCATGAGCATTTTTATTCCTCTTTTTACTGGGTAACTTTTCCCACTGAATAGATTTCTTTTGGGGAGGGTCTCTGGAAGTATTTCTCAATAGAGGTGCCATCTGTGGAAAGAGACCTGAGTTTAAGTGTCTGCCGTGTCACAGGTTTGAAACTCACACACAGCACGTGGCTGTTCTGAACAGCTGTTTTCTCTCCTGTGAAATGGGACTTCCTGTATCTCAAGGTTTTACTACATGGAAAGTCTGTCCAGTATCTGAGTTACAATCTCAAAATATATTTTCTTAATTTTACTTCTTGAACAGTACACATAAAACAACAAATGCATTTATCCAGAATGAAGCTTTTTCAGATTCTGGGGTTTTGGGTGTGGAGGGACAGGAGGGTGTGTCAGCTTCTGAAAATGGTAACAGCGTCTACTTAATCCAGCCTTAGCAAGTCGGGGTCTGACTTGGTGTTTTTGACAGAGTGGGTTTCCCAAACATTAACTGAAGGACTAACTACAAATTGCCAACAGAAAGATCAGAGACTTCCACAAGCTCATTTGTCAGAAGAAAATCTTTTCCCCTTTGAGGCAAGAATTGGCGACTGTGGGGCCACCGAGGAAGTAGCAGGTGGGAAAGAGAATGATCTGGGTGTGGAAGGGGAAAGTCCCCTTTTTTTATTTTTACTAAAATAAAATGCACAAGTGAATCATGAAGTCAAAAATAGGGGGAAAAAACGCAACGTGTAAAAAAATAGTACATGGTGAGACACGTGGGAGGGATTTTTGGTTTCTTGTTTTTGTTTTTTGGTTGTACTAACATTAATTTTACAACCAAAGAGAGAGAGAGAGAGAGGTGTGTGTGTGTGTCTGTGTGTTTATTAGTTTTAGGGCAAGGAAGAGCTACAGGAAATAGATGGCAAGATTTAAAACGACTATTAATCTTTTAAACCAAAAGCATCCTTACCTTAACACACAGGCTGAGATTTCTTCCAAGGAAGATTTGGCTCATTCAGTGCATCCTGTATGTTTACCTTAGATCTGGGGCCCAAACCTTAGCATCGCAGCCACTCAAATTTGCAGCTGTCAGACCGGTTGAGCCTGTACACCTGAGTCCAGACTCACAGGAACCTGCTGACTTGTCTTGCTCTGGGCTCCACTGGTGCGAGATTGATTTACTCAGAGTGAAATTCAAGGAAGCTTGTTTTTCTCAGAGTCTTTGACCTGGAAGGGACCCCAGGCATCCTTTAGTTTGTGCTTCTGGGACCAGGATGCGCTGCACTGATACCTGTCCACAGTGGTCCCGGGTTTCCTTTCATTAAACACATCCTGGAATGAGGTTCCCCAGACGCCCTCAGTGAGAGGGTATTGCGTGATCAACAGCCCTGGTGTGAACCCGTTTCTGCTTTTGCCCATGTGGTGAATCCTGCCAGGCTCCTGTTCCTTCTCCCTGCCTCCCTCACCTTACCTCCCTTACCCTGCTCAGCCCAAGACACTCCTGCTTCTCATCTGCCTCAGTAGCTGCGGACACTGGCCGTGTGTTTAAACACTTCACTCTTAGATGACAGTCCACAGTCCTGCCTGCCAGGCTGCACTTAATCACTTCTGAATTCTTGTGTTTCCTAAAACTGGACCCCAAGTCCTCCCTCCAATTCCAAAACATAGGGGAATATTTTTGCTCTCAAGTTTACTTGTGGATTGTTTTAAAAGTGCTAACCACGTGCCTCACATTATATAAGACCCTGAGAAAACTATAAAGTCAAAGAGAAACAATCTCATCAAAGCGAGTCTGGTGGAGAGAAAGTAGTTCAAGGAATGAACTCACATGACAGAGGGTCTTGAACCCCCGACTCAGATATTTGGTCTTTACCGTTAGGAGCTGGTCTGTGGGAGCGCTGGGAGGTTTCTGAATGGAGAACACGGAGGCATAAAGAGTGTCGGCAGACGGGCGGGCACCGTTACACAGACGATTCGGAGGGTGTGAAGGGTCAGAGGGAGGCTGTTGACATATTAATCCCTCTGTGGGTTGATAACGTATTAGGAACATTGTTCTTAAATTAAAAAAAAAAACAAACCCTTTTCATATTATAGAACCAATACCGGTTTGAGAGAACACAGAAATTTCTCAAAAATCCAAGGAAGAAAAAAATCATCCAAAACCTCACAACTTAAAGACAATTATGAATATTTTATTGTCTTTCTATGGATATAATTGGGATCATATAATACATGGAGTTTAATACCCTAACTTTTTTTAATGTTGTGAAAGTATTTGCCCACGTTACTAAAGTGTTGATTGTCACACCACGTGGTGTCCCCTGGGTAGGAGGGTGCTAAGGACGGACCCAAGAGCTAGAGAAGCCTTAGGTTCTATTCCGACCCTGTGATGTCCTGATTCTCTGAATTTGATTTCAGATAGGTTGAAATGAAGCATGCGCAAGGTCCTGGGTTCAATCCCCAGTACCTCCTCTAAAATTAAATAAATAAACCTAATTACCTTCCTCCTCCCACCAAAAAAAAAAAAGACTCTATTAAATCTTCTAATAGCTTTCAATTTTACCTCGAATCAAACCCAACCTTCTTTCTATCGCCCACAGGCCCCTGCACGGTCCAGCCCCGGCTACTCTGACTTCACTGACCCGACGCTCCCGTGTGTTTGCTGTAGTCTGGTCACACTGGCTTCATTTCTGTTATTTAGAAATTTCTACCCTCTAGACACTTTGTGCCAGCTGCAGGGAGAACTCTGTCCCCAGGTGTCTGTCTGGCGGGCTCCTGGTCACTCCTCAGGCCTCAGCCATGTCATCACTTCTGCAGTGAAGCCCCTCCTGACACCGTCTCTGTCTCTTCACCACATCCTCATGGTTCTCACCAGCTAGAAATCATCTCTTTCAGTGTTCTTATTCAGGGTTTCTTCCCCCTACGTTTCTCGTTCCCTTCAGCCCCTCCACACACTAGACACCAGACTGTGAGCTCTGAGAGGGTCTCTCAGCTTCTCTCCAGCTGTTCCCAGCACTCGGAATGTCGCCTGGCACAGCGGGGACTGGATAGGGTGAATGAATGAACTGATGTGAGGGTCTGAGGACCCAGGAAACTCACCCTCCCGCCACCCCTGCAGCTTCTCCCACCTCCTCAGGTCCACTTCATTCCAGCAACAAAAGCAACCACAGGACTGCGGCTGGGCATCCTCAAGCCTCCCCGAGAGGAAAAACGTGGGAATTTAAGAGCCTTAAAGGTATAAAGATCTTGGTAGGGCCCCACCCCCACCCCCTCCGCAGCCTGACACTGGGATGTGGAGCATTCGACCATGACCTGGGGGCACATTTCTGCTTCATTCTCACTGGGGAAATATCTGCAGGTTATGTTTAGTGGGAAATCATCAGCTGTGTAGCCAGAACAAACACGTGACTCTGCACTGTATGAAATACACATTCGTCTATGAAATCTTTAATAAAAATCATTGCCCCGCCCCTCCTCTGAATGTGCATCACATCCTTGTCCGAAGATCAAACCAATTGAAGGTAAACTCAACCAACCCGAACTCAGCAAATGCCTCCGCAGCACACGGAACATTGCTTCACACCTGTTCTCAGGAGGAGGGAATGAATCGGTAGAGAAATTGTTTCAGCTCATATAAAAAAAAATTGAAAGGGTCCATTACACATGGCTTGTGACTAATGGCGTCAACTTCTTAGAATATTCCCACTGCAAAAATGTCTGCAATTTTAAAGACTGTGGCAAGGAAGGGTTAATGGTAGGATGATGGTTAAAAAAAAAAACCCTCAGGACTCATCAAGTATTTATTATTGTCAGGCGCCCCGCCATTTACAAAGGGTGCCTCTGAAAAGTGGGTGTAATCATTGCTGTCTTCTAGACAAGGGTGCTGCTGGGGTTCGACCTCCTTGTCAGGGAGAGAGCAGTGAGGCATCTCTGTGCCTCAATAAGTCTGTTTTTTGGGAAAGTATACTTATTTTTTCATTAAATATATGATATTTATATTACCATGTAGAGAGTTTATTGTCATTATTGAAAATAAATAAGAAAATAAAAATTTAAAATACTCTCCATTTTAATTTTGAATGTAGTATGTATTGACCGACGTAACCCACACAGACAAAAGCCCTTTGGAATCCTTGATAATTTCTGAGCGCAGAAACTTGCAAACCAGCGTCTCCCAGCCCATCACAGAAAGCTTTGCGGACTTCCCTCCCCTGGCTGCTGTGGTTGCTACTTTCTCACTGTCTGCAGTTCCACCAGGAATAGCTTGGCCAGGAATCTGCTGAATGGAGATTACATTTTATATTTTTTTCCAAGTCTCAGCGCCCTCAAGGCTGTCTCTGGGTGTCTCCAGGTGATCAGGGCTTGGCTGATACCATCTCATTTGGGAGTTTCAGATCAGAGCAGTCTTCCTGCTCCGGGTATTTGAGGATCACTATAGGATGTCTGCTTTACAGAAGTTAACCAACATGACAGGCAGATGAATGATATTCCTTAAAAGCCGTTTGAAAGGGCTTCCCCCGTGGGGCGTTCTATATGGGGTACAATAACTGCTCAAACCGAGTTTGGGAAGGAATGAGTAGTTCATTTGGAGGGACAATTTGGAGTAGATTTAGGCGGCTGTTACTGGTGATGGGGGGCTTCTGAGTTGCCAGAGAATCTGGCAAAAAGCCTTCAAACCCACTTCCGAGTGTGATGGCATCTTCCTTCCTGGGCTCCCCCTGGGAAGGTAGGTCAGCCCCGCCCACGGTGGTGAGCAACTAGCCTGGTCTGGAAATACCGCGGCAGGGCTCAGCCTCTCGGCTCCACAGGAGAGCCTGCGCGCTCCAATCCGGTCCGGCAGGTCCACACCGCGCTGGGAGCCCGCGTTTGAGCTCGGTGGGTGGGGCACCGACCGCCGGAAAGGTGTGCAGGGGAGGCGGTGGCAAAAATGTGCGCGAGTCGGGGGCCGGCGATCGGGACTCCCGCGCGGCCCCCGACCGGCTGGGCGACCTTGGGGGAGCAGACTCCGTCTCTGGGCCAAGGTGTGGAGCCCGCGTGCACCTGCCCGTCCGTCTTCCTCCCTCCTTTCCTGCCGGCTTTTGCCAGGTAGGCCTAAGCTGGCTTCTCCCGAGTGAGCCGGTGTTTGGGGTTTCCGTCTAAACGGCGGGGCCCAGCGGATCCTGAGGCCACGCACCCCCAGGGGGGGCTATGCGCGACGCACAGGTGGGGACCGGGCACCACCGCGGGGACCGGGGGCTGCGGGCTGGGCGGCAGGCCTCCCACGGGGCGCAGAAGCCAGATGGCAGAAAGGGAGGCCACCGCGCCCCCAGAGCAGGTGACAGCGCAGAAGAGGGGAGGGGATCCGCACCCCCCAACGCCCCGCCTCGCCTCCCGGGGCGGGGGCTCCCGCTGATGCTCTGCACCTGGATCCCGGGGGTGGGGGTTGAGAGCAAGAACGGGGCAGGGGAGGGAGCAGGCTTTGGGGGGTACGTCTGGGTAAGTGTGGGGCCAACCTCGGAGGGCTCCCTTTGGAGAAGGGAAGGTCAGTGGCCTGGCTGGGGTCTCAGATTCAGAGGTCGCAGAAGCCAGGCTTGGTGCCAGGGGAGGGCGCACTCCGTCCCATTGCACCCCTTCCCATCCCACCCGCCTTCTTCCCCGCAGCACCACAGGGGAATGCTGCCCTTGCTGCTCTGCGTCGTGTCCATCGCTCTTCCACGTATTATCAGGGCAGGTGAGTTTGGTGTCTCAGAGGCCACCTCCCCACCCCCCGCACGCCTCCCTGCGGCTCTGGGCGTCCCCTGTGTGGACCCCCTCCGGGTCGCGCGAGCCCCGAGCCTCTCCGATTACACTTTCCCCGGTGGTCCTGGGGGATCCCGCGGGACGCCTGAACGCCAAGTTTCAGCCCCAAGTGTCTGATGCTCGGGCCCAAACGTCCCCTTTGAGCTTTGAAGTGACTCTGGACAGGGGGGAAGTTAGGCAAATGCAAGGCAAGACGAGTTAAAGGACTCAAGGGGGGACACTACAGTCTAACTTATGTGACAGACATTTTATGTCCCAGGGTAAGAGCAAACACATCACTAGCGGGACCAATTGCTTCCAAGAAAAAGTAAGCGATTTTATAGAAATGAACTGTGAAGTGAGTGCACTGTTTAACAGCCCTTTTTGAGATGAGATTCTTACACATTTTACTGGGGACACAGTGAATTAACAGGGTGGCAGGGCAGAAAGAAAACAGGACAAGCGGAGCTCAGAAGAGGAGCTTTTACTTGAAGGAGGAGAGGGAGGAATTAAGGGCCTTAGGATGGAAGATGACTTGCATGGGGGGAGACAGCAAAGTCTTTCTTAGGGCACATGTGAAGGACTTCTAGTTTCACATTCACAGACTATCTTTAGGAAACTCCCACACTAAGAAACTCTCACGTGAAATTTCAAACCGGCTAGAAAGTTAAAGAGGCGCTTGTTAAAATGAATACAAGTAACACCAGCGCTCGCTGTCACGTTTACTTTTTTCCTTTCCTTCCCTAGATGCTTGCAAGGACGTGAGTGTGCAGGATGAGATGGCTTCAGTAGGCCAGCCTACAGCTTTTAATTGCATATACCCTTTGCCAACGTCTGGGAAAGTGAATGTGACGTGGTATAAATTTCCTAGCAAAATCCCAATATCCAAAAACATACGGTCTAGGATTCACCAGGAGCGAAACTGGATTTTGTTTCTCCCCTTGAAAGGGGAGGACTCTGGGATCTACAAATGTGATATAAAGTAAGTTCCTCATTTAAAAGAGAAGTATCTTATATATATATTATATAAATGATATGATATAATAATATAATATAATATAATATAATATAATATAATATAATATAGCATGTAATGTTGTAAGATTTAGCAGGCTGACACAAGGGTGGTAAAATCATTTACCAAAGACAAAGAATGGAAATAAGAGAGGCGTTTATTAGATACGCTGCTGTGGGCACCAGCGGGCCACAGACTAGGGGTGTCTGCCCTCTGAGAGCTGGTTGTTGAGGACTTTTGTAAGGAGGGTGACCCTTTACTGCTTGTGCTGACGTGACATCAGGCACAGGGGGGTCGCAGGGTGTGTGATCAGCTTGTGCACAAGTTTCTGATTGGCTGATGTTAAGGTAATAGGGAAGGGAGGGGGTCGGGAAAGGTAGGGCTGCGTGACTCTGGCCGGGGGCTGTGGCCGGTTCTGGTGGTCAGACTTCCGGGCAATGAAAGGTTGTTGATTATCATCTGGGTAGTTGGTTCATCTAAGGCAGGTACGTACTGGGGAAGGAATGTTCCTTGTTGTCATCAAAGGGCAGTCCCTGGACCCCTGAGGGGCCATGGACCAGGAGACTGTCAGGCGTCTTTAGACTCCCACATACAATATTTAAAAATATAATAAATATATAAAGAGAACATATAAAATATATGATACATGCATTTAAATCTTTTAGGAAAATTCTTGATAAACTCTTAATAAATGTAGAAAACTCAATGAGAAGAATATAGTTTTGTATCGTTACAAGATGTTTTCAGGGACCAGACTTTTAAAGAGGATAGATTTGTGAACCAGTTGCTGGAACATGACGTGCATCTTTTTCCACCGAAATGATGCCAAAGGCCAGACCGGCTTCCAAAGCCTGCTTACAGTAGTCCCAATGCTATTGCTGCCTTCTTTCTTGGAATGCCAGCAGTTTTAGTGACAGGCAGCACGTCCAGAGGGGTATAAGCCTCCTTCGAGCACCTGTTTTGGAAGGGACTCTGCTAAGGAATTGAACAGTGACCAAGCACCAGGTGTGTTCCCGGCCCCGTGCTACGCCCTAGTCTAGGAAGGAACGTGAGCGAGGGCCGCAGGTCTGGTGGGGGGTGATTGCTCCTGGCGCTGTCTGTGGTTATCAGGAAAGTGTGTGCCTCACCAGAGACGGCAGCCTATTCAGTTCAAGCCCATTTTCCAACTTTTCAAGGTAACCTGGAAATCAGAATGTGTGTGTGGTTAACTTTTTAATACGCTTTGTGTGTGTAGCTAGATGAGAACACATCTATGGACCAAATTTTGCCTCAGAGCCCCAGTTTTGTCACCCTCCCTTGAATAACATGCATGACCTTAATTATGTGACCTCTGTGAGTCTTGGCTTTCTCACTTGTAAAGTGGAAGCCTGATACGGTTGAAGCGAAAATGACCTGAGATCATGTGTGAAGCAGGTACTTCTGAAATGTAGCCACATTCCCTCCCTGCTGTGGTTCCTTGGCGTTTGCCAGCCCTTCTCTGTGTTTCAGGATGGCCACATCCCTCTCTGATTCAGATTCCTCACTTCCACGATGGACTCAGGGTGCACGGCTACCTAGCGGCACACACGTGCAGGTGCCAGCGGCCCCCTTTCCGCAGTCTCACTCACAGTGGGGACAACTGCTGAGCCTTGTGAGGGTCTGCTCTCCCATTTTACTGTAGGTCATTCATTAACCAGAGTTGGAGATCACATATCACACAAATCCATCTGGATGTCCAGGCTGGATTTCAAATATTTGGATCTGGGAGCTATGAAATGCAGCAAAAACATCGTTCGTAGGTGGTAGACATAGGACGCTGACGTGGAAGAAAATAAACATGAATTGTCATCAATCTTTAACACACAGATATGATGTATATTTAGTAAACGATGTATTTTTAATTTTAAGTAATTCAAATCCATGTTACATTTGCAAAAATAGTATAAAGCACTCCCATCCACCTGTTACCGAGTCCAAACTCGTTCTGCTCACCGCACGAAAGGCCAATAAATCAGGAGACGAGGTGTTGGGGCAAGGAATAGAGACTTTATTCAGAAAGTCAGCAGACCGAGAGGATGGCAGACTACTGTCCTGGAGAAACGTCCTGCTCCAGTCAAAATACAGGCTCCTTTTATACGGGGGAAAAAAAAACAAAATGGGAGGAAGTGTGGTTGGTTGTTGCAAACTTCTTGCTGTAGGAATTCTTTGTTCCTGCAGCTCTCCGCCTGGGCCAGCTCCTGGTGCTCCTGCAAAACCTCCAGCAAAACAAATGTTATTCTCTATTCTGCAACTTTGTTATCTTCATGTGAATGCAGAGCTAGCAAGACTAAGGGTAGAAAACAGGGCTCCGGTTAAAGTGAAAGGAACAGATCTAATACAGAGTCTGGTTTGTTCTTTTTCTATTACACACCTTTTACCTAGATTCTCTAATATTTACATTTTCCTACATTTATGTCATCATCCTCCACTGTATATACATCCATTACACACTATATTTTTTCTAAACCATTTTTTTTTCTAAATCTTCGGAGTTGAACGCCCC